GAAGTACAAATTTTAATGAAACTCGTCACCTATCTACTATAATTCACAATTAATTTTGGAATTAAAAATTTATTTAATGTTCGATTGTTATATTTATAAGGATTAAAAATTTAAAACAAGTTTTCTCATAAGTACCTACAGTTTATAGTTTATACTGCGACCAAAAAATAACATAAAAATAAGATTTTTTAAATAATAACTATATAATGAATATAATATAAAACTATAAAATATCCTAGACAAACAAACCATCTCCGCTCAGAATCGTTTTTTGTATACAATGATATTATATCAAATTTAACACCATCCATTACAGTAACCCACTTATAACCTACTGTACAGCAGAGCGACATTCACATTTTCATGCATTTTTAAGCATGCTCATTCCCATCTTCCCATCTAAGCTATAGAACATTTATTTAAGTTCTGATACTTATAATTTTTAAGTAGGTAGACTTAAAGACCAAATTTTCAAATATTTGATATTTCTTGTACTACTCAATGAGATCCTTTGACTGTACCAACTTCTATTTTTCAAATGAGAATTCCCCTTTTTACTGAAAATTATAATATAGTGGATCATTTTTTTTGAAAATGTTGATGTATCTAAATCAAAATTATAATCAGTAATTTATGTATATGTTACGGCAAAGTATGTAGGGTAGTCGGGCATGTATGATATAAAGTAAGAAGTTAATACAAGTTCTTCTACAGTTATCTTATCTATCAATATTATCTTTATTATACTGATATGATTTGGAAAGCTTTAGTTATGATGTGGGTACTTGTCTAAAATTAAAAATACTCCAGTACTGCAGATAAATGCAGTAATTGTTAATACTGTGTAGTGTGTTCAATGTTCAGTGTTCAGCGTATTCAACTGTTTATTGACGTTGGTAATATTTTATTAAGTTTTTTTCGAAATTTATACCATGACGTTTAGAAGTACTATCCGATGAAAAAATACCAATAGTACATTTTTAAATGAAATCAAGTATGAAGAACTAATAAAGGAAATTAAAAAAAAAAAAAGAACCACGGCTAAAACAGGTACAGAATTTAAAAAAAAAAATGATGTTATTATGGTGGGCGAAGTTGAAAAATTGGTGGTACCAATATTATCTACTTCTAATTCAATTGATTACTATGTTTATAATGAAGAAATATTTGAAATTACAAATKAAATTCATTTAAATATTGGACACGGAGGGCGTAATCGAATAATATATGAGATAAATTTGAAGTATACAAATATTACTAGGGAAACTATAATGTTATATCTAAGTGTGTGTATAACATGTCAAAAAAAGGAAGTACCACAAAAAAAGATTTAGTTATACGACGAATCCTCTCCTCAGAAATGAATTCACGTTGCCAGGTCGATTTGAACGACATGCAAGCTCAGCCTGATAAAAACTTTAAATTTATTCTGGTCTATCAAGATCACTTAACAATTTTTGTTTTATTTTATTTTATAAAATTTATTTCATTACATTTGGTGCACCTTTAATACTACTACACGGCGACAACGGTCGAGAATTTGTTAATACAATTATTAGCGACTTATGTAATATGTGGTCTGGACTTAAAATAGTTAATAGAAAACCACGAAAATCCCAGATCCAGATGTTTTTGTCGAAAGAGCAAATCAAGACATTGAAAATATGATAGCTACTTGGCTTCAGGACAGCTCAATGTCCCCGGCACCCCCACTTCAAAGTTTTGAAATTCGAATTGGCCCATTCTTTTGTGCCTCGTTAGTGCTTGTTTGTGCTCTTCATACCGACGTTTGTGCTTTCGCCGTTACCGAGATATCGACCTTTCCAAATAGGGGTAGATTTTTGGGGGGTTAAGTTGGCAGATGAAAAAAATTTCGGAGTGGTGGGTATTTGTGGGTGAGTAGGTTTGTGCTTGTAAGAGGCCGGGGTCTCACAGAATCGCTCGGACTAACCCCCGGCCCGCAGCGATAGGTCTAACCACCACCCCGAATTAATTTGAAATTTTGTTTCAAAATTCCCAAAAYTCRGATTAACGTCTACCRATCATGATGCACGTCTGACTTTTTCAAACTATTTCTCATACTCGCATTTCGGGACAAATAACAAATGTGATGTTAGTCATCACTTTTCCATGATAATGGTAGTTGTGTATAGATATTAGATAATTATGCAGTTTATTAGCTCTATCGGAAATTCGCTGGCGTGAAACTCGGGGGCTCGTGAAACCCGCTTTGATTGGGTACCTGTRGAAATGACAGAGTCATTGAACTTATAAAATTCATACCTACTTATTAGTCGGACTATGATGGTTGGTTATAAGTCAAAAGTTTGAGAATRTTATATGTGATTTGTYGTTTWTTTATTTTTGTTTTACGAATATAGCYGTGACTATAACATTGATAATGTTTATTAATTTAACTTAATTCTTATAATAGTTACAGAAATGGTGTGCTTAATTAAAGATTGAATTAACAATATGGTCTACTTATAATACTAATAATATCTTACCTATCAACACTAATTGAGTGACTATTTAATTACCTCTAATATATAAAAAGTATTGTACCTACCTAATATAATAATAGTACTTACATAGTAGGTAATTATAGTTWAGATTTTATGTGTTATATTACTTATAATATTATAATTGTTCACGCCAAACAAATTATACGCTGATGTGCACGACAACCAGTCTACTTAGTACTTATCTTACCTACCTTCTTAATAGTTTCCCTTCTCCTTCATGCACCACTCCGTCATTAATTGTTGAATTATTATAATTGTGTTTTTTGTTTATTTSTTCTCTTTGGTTTATACTTTATATGCTATTTATGTAAATTATTGGTCAGTTTTGTTGCCGTATTAATTATTATGATGATTATTATTATTGTTTTTATTATGCGGCCAACGCCCTATTTATCGTTGTTGTTTTTTTTTTTGTTGTTGGCGTCAAACTGTCTGCCGTTGTGTCGTTTTTTGTCGTCGGTGTTGTTCGCGACAACAAATATTTTGTATGTAAGTTGTTTTTTCTTCCTCTATTGCAGCGGCTTCGTATCTTCTTTTATATTATACTTCGTTCGATTTTTTTATTGTAAGTAGCATTAAGTGCATATATTTAATAAACTGTTTTTCATGATCGACACAAATTACTTGTTGTTTCGTCTCTTCATTGTGAAGACCCATTAACCACTAGACGCAGATCATAAGTGGCTTGTTGTTGGTTACCTCACGTCCTCCACTTATTGGCCAGTGTCTACCGAGTATTGGGTGTCGCATTATCGCAGCTGTCAGGCCCCTTTTGCATCAGCGATTGAGCCGTCCGTTGCGTAAGTCCGCCAGCAACCGATCGTTGTGTGAGAGGCCGCCCAGGTCGTCTAGAGTATTCCACGTCTGCGGCTGATCACCATTGTAACCGGACTTCCGTAGCTTAAGTTTTAAGTTTAAGTCTTGTTCCGGAATTTGTAAGCTTTGTGATCATTGCACCACACCGACTCGACCACAGAGCACCCTCCCCATAACTAACTTGCACATCCAAATTCCTCCCAGTCTTGTTCCCGTATCACTTTAAAATAAATTTTTTTTAAATCTTACATTAATTTATAAATCTTATAAATAACTTAGGTGCTATAATCATTATTATTTATTAAGAATATAATATAAACTATATTACCTCAACGTTAATGCTAATTTTTCTTCAGGTGTAATCGGTTGTTGTACTCGATTGTATRRCTCAGAAGAGATATMATTTTTCACTAGTGACAAAACAAAATTGAACTGTTTTAAATTTAATCTAAAAAACTCTCGAAATAATTTTTCGTCGTTCAATAAGTGCCCTTTAATAAGTTTTTCGTAAAATCTTTCCTGTTCCCTCACTAAAAACATAGGTTTTGTGGATTTTCTTTTCTTCTTCATCGTTAAAAATTCTAACATATTGTCTTCGTCTTTCTCTTCTTCAAGTAAAGACATCAAAATATTATTAAAATTCACAACAGCTTGTTGTTTATTCATATTTGTAGTTTATACAGTATACGTGCACATTCGTTGAAAATTCAA